AAACATCTGAAAATACTTTCTGGTAGAAAGGAGACAGAATGTTTCTTTCAGCTTTGAATCTTGTAATTTCTATATTAGAGTGATCTCAAGGTGACAATTGTAGCATGTTTTACATGAGAGATTGAATGTCAAATGTATTTAAATGTTAAAACCAGCTATTCACATGTTAAAATCAGTACAGAATGCACGTTTCTATGTGCCTGAAAGATTGCTTTCTTCCTCTCAGCTGTAAATGACCTATGACGCTAAAATTAGGTGCAAAGTGAACCTTAGAATTCTATTTAATCCTGAAGAGTTAATTTGTGATTTGATTGAAGAACAGAATTTACCTCACTGATACTTTGCCTCAAAAAAGTATTTGGTTTCCAGCCTTACAGGTTGATTTCATGCTTGTTTAACTTTGTGAGGTGTTTGGTCATCTTTGTAGCTTAGGGAAGCATTAGATATCTCTTTGTGATCTCAACAAACAAGATTTCATTACATAGGCAACTGTGTTGTATCTGAATTCTGATTTAGTGCCAGAACCATTTGCAAGAAAACAATTTTCTAAATATTACCAAAAACTATGCAAACTAGTACTGACAGATGGCTGTAAGATAGACATTAAAATGGTCCACTTTAACAGTTTATATTGGATTTGGTTGCTGTTGTTGTGTTTAGATTAATAAAAGGAAAGCAAATGACAAAATTCATGCATTTTGAAATGTAGACAATACTGGTGCATAATTAAATCAACCATACATTATATACTCTATTCCTCCATGTCAGTCATTGTTACAGACAAAGTTTAGATTGATACATTCCTAGGCAAATACCTCGAGCTGATATAGCAGTGTCATGATGAAGCTGTGTCTCTGTGTTTTCCTATCATCCTCCATAAGTCAATATCACTGCCTAAAACTCCAAAGTCGTTCTTCTGCTTTGTTCTTTCAGTTTGCTCTTGAGACAGTCATGGCCATCATAGCTTATTTTCTGTTATTTTCAGCAGAAGGGCAACTGTCTTATGTTAAATCTGAAACCTAAATACATCTTGGAGTACAAAAAGGAAAATTATGTGTAGTGAGACCTGTTGTTTTTCTCACTGAGATTGTAATACAGCACCTGTGAACTAGGAATTAATGATTTCCAGAATTGTTAGTTATGGAAAAATAAGGCATCTTAATTTCTTCTGCTGTTTTGACTTATGATTCTGTTATTGATGCTGTTATTGTTGGTAAAATGCTTTAATGGAAACTTAATGTTATATTCCTAACAATGTTTTGAATTTTATTTGTTCTCTTTATAAATTCATTCTGAAGTACTCTGTTTTCAAGAAAAATTAATCCAGTAATTGAAGTCGTTTGGTTTTGAGAAACATTTTTAATAAAAAAGATATTATTCAAATGACAAGAACCAGGGACACTGTGTAATTGAAATAACTATGGATAATATTGCAGTGACCAAAAAGTCTCTGTTAACAAATCAGGGGAAAAAAAAATAATCCCTGTGAATAGCTCTCATGTTGTAATTTAATATACTTTTCTCAGGTTGACCTACACTTCATGAAAAAGATACCACCTGGAGCTGAAGCATCAAACATCTTAGTTGGTGAACTAGAGTTCCTGGACCGTGCAGTTGTCGCTTTTGTTAGGTTGTCTCCTGCAGTGCTGCTCACAGGACTAGCTGAAGTTCCAATTCCAACCAGGTGCACTTGGATTTATTTCACTGCATGTTTTTCTGAGTACCTTGTGGAGACAGGGTGATGTACCCTTCAGCTCTGTCATTTACTGAGTTATGAGTTTGGCTCAGTCTTTAACAGAGACACTCCTTAGATCCTTTAAATGATGTATGGGTGTACTCAGAAACATGCTGTTTTCTGTGTGCTTTGAGGAAGTAGAAATGATGGCTTGTTCGATTACAACACTCAGTTTATCCTACACAAACTGGTATTACTGCAGATGAAATACTAAGGTGAAACATTCAGCTTCTTAGAATATTTTATCTGGAACTGAAACTACTTGTGTGTCCAGAACTGAAAAACGAAATAAGAATGGATAAAATGCAAAAAAGCAAACTGTGTGATTTGATTGACTAGGGATAGTGAATGAATGGATAGATAACATGCAGTAAATATGTTCTTCAAAAAGTTACTTTGTAGATAGTTGCATGGTAGGGAATGTGTCTTGTAACCATAAATTTTCATTAGATTAATTTTTTCTAAATTGAGACTTTTTCTGATGAAGTAGTTTGATTCTGAAAACAAATTATGAGGAATTTAAAAAGAAAAGTAGATTCAGATGGAAACTCTGAAGTGATTCTCCCATTTCTGAGTCCATTGGCTTAGCTATTATTGCAATCTCTCTTTTTTTTTTATTTGTGTATATGTTTGTACACATATTCTTTATCTTTTCCCCCTGCCCTCTTTTAGTTTCTATGAAAGCAGAATTCTGAAAGAAGGCAGTAGTGCATTCCAGTTGTTTGTGACACTCAGGAAGGAGTATTATGCTATGAAATGCAATGCTGAGACTCAGATTCTTGCTCCTAGACAGATAAAGAGTATAAAATTTTCTTTAAGTTGTAGTTACTTTGTAGTTATTTTGGATATGATATTTAAAATGTTTTCTAATTTTTGCTTGTGCATGAAGAACATTAAAGGACTGAACTGACCTTGGGAAAAACCTCTGAAGCCTTTCCTAGTAACCTCCTCCAGATTCCCACAGAAAAAAACCCCACACAAACCAAAAGGAAAAGAACAGATTTCTTTTTTTTTTTTTCCCAAAAGAAAAATAAATAATTACAAATTAAGACAATTCAGAATTTCTGTAAAACTGTGTATTTAAAAAGAATTTTAGTAATGTAAGTAAAAATATTGCCTTGTGCTTTTTAGCAAAACTGAGAATTTCAGTTGTTTTATTTGAACCAATGTTCTGTATTTTATAGAACCTTACTTGCCTACAGCCTCACATACAGGCTGTGTAGAGCCTTAAGAGGCTCTGGTAAAGTAAAAACAATTTAAAATGATTTAAAAGTTATTTTTATTTGGGGTAATTTAACTTCCCCAATATTGCAACAATTCATGCAACCATAAAATAGTTAATTCAGTTGAATTAACCGAATTAAATAAATTAATGTTAATATGCTCTGTACATAGATTATAGTTGTGTTTATTATGTAAGAGAAGGTTTGTTATGTAAGGAGGTTTTGGTAGTCTCAATTAAGACTGACTGTTAAGCTTATGATATATTTTTGGAAGTTATTTTCACTTTTTTTTTCTAAGCAGAGCTTCATGTTTAAATGCATGTGTGAGGATCTGTGAGGGAGATTATATATCATGTTTGTCTTAGAGATTCTCCTAGTCCACTTTTTAGATAAGTATTTCTGTAGTATTTATAGTTACTTCAAACCATCTATCCTCTAGAATTTTTAAAATTTAACTTTCATTTGCAGATTTTTGTTTATTCTTCTTGGACCACTGGGTAAAGGGCAACAATACCATGAAATTGGAAGATCAATTGCAACGCTGATGACAGATGAGGTATTTTTATTCATGGTTTGGTTTTTAGTCTTTTTGTACTAACTGAAAAGGTGTAATAGGTAATTTCCAATCATCCAGATGAAATGTGACTAATCATTCTGCTGATACACAAAGAGCATTCTAGTTCATTTTATGATCATGTAACAGCCCAGATTATGCTGCCATAAAGAGACAGCAAAATGAGGAACAATATTCACAAGAGAAGATATCTTCAATGAGAAGATTCCATTTTACACAGTTACTTTCCAGTGGATTTAATGGTGTTTAAACTATAAAATCTCGAGAATATTTATCAACCTTAAGGATGCTATTCTATAGCAGCTGGAACTTCTATGAGAACTATGTACCAGAAACTCTAGTCAGTTGAAGCTAGGATTGTTTGTTTAGTAGGAACTGTATGAAGTGCATTCTATTTCAGAGAAAAGGGGCCATTGTGAAAAATGTTAGAGAGAGCTTCTTTTTCCATCTCTTTTTCCTTCCACATCCTTCTCAATTTTTCACAGGTATTCCATGATGTTGCTTACAAAGCAAAAGACCGAAATGACTTGGTGTCTGGAATTGATGAGTTTCTTGATCAGGTTACTGTTCTCCCTCCTGGAGAGTGGGACCCAACAATTCGAATAGAACCACCTAAAAATGTTCCCTCCCAGGTTTGTACAGTGTAAAATTCAGACACTGTTAAATGTTATGATGAATTTTTGCCGTGTAAATTTTTGTCTCATTAATTTGGCATTTAGCAGAGTTACTATATAAACGTTTTGTGTCCTCTTTTTGTTTTAGGTTAACTTGCTTTAAGAGAACCCTTGACTTAGAAGCATACAGGATAGTGATGACATTTGCTGTAGTTCAATACTACTTCTCTCCTGAATAAAGACAGACAGTTGTATCTAAAGATCTGAAATTTAGGAATAATTGGCCATAAGCATCTTTGATTATTCCAAATAGCCATGGTTTGCTTTTGTTTTTGCTTACTGCAATAATTGATCAAAGCTTGCTATTCTTTAAAATGTTTTCTGATACAAGATTTTTTGTCATCAGTTCTTTAAATTTCACAGAACGACAATTCCTTCTACTATTAACTGTCTGTTAATAAAGCTTCTCTACAGCTTATGTTGATGAATCTTAAAACAAAATTTATATGTTTAAGCTTTTAACTCTCAAAGCTTTTTTTTTTTTCTGACTCTAATTATATTTTGGTGCTAACACCCATGAGAAATATCTTTTCCTTCTGGTAGGAGAAGCGTAAGATCCCGGGAGTGCCAAATGGAACTGCAGCCCATGGGGAAGCAGAACATCCTGGGGGACACTCTGGACCAGAACTGCAACGCACTGGAAAGTTAGTGAAAACATATGCAAAATCTTAAGCTTTTTAAGTGATGCACTTCCAAAGGAATCACAGTGGTCTGGTTCTCTCTCAAATGACTGTTTTGGCAAATGATTTTTTTCAGTCATTTTTATTGATTTACTTACCACGTAGTTGAAAAGGATGATCCATGGTAGTTTGTAGAGAGGGGGATAGGGCAAGAGGGATTTGAGTTTTCACAATTTCTTTATTGCAAGCTCCTTTTTCTATCAGTTACAAAGGTCAGACCTCTGTTAAACTTTATTATGTTTCTTGTTTCTGTACAGCATGAAGGAGAAGTTGGAAATAGTCATGTACCATACATTATGAATGCTTACAGCTATTTGCAGTTGAAGTTTCTGGGTTGTGCAGCTCTAGCATTTCTTTCTTACCTCAGTAAGCCATAGTATGTCCTGGTATGTGAGGCTATGGGTATCACAGTGTCTGTAATATACACACACCAGATTGAAGCATTTGACACAAATACTTATTTTCTCTCTTCCAGTATGGTGTGGTGTCAGTGTTATCAGTTCTCAGCAATTGCCTTAGTGCAGTGTAGTTGGGCAATAGACTTTTCTTTTACCTTGCTGCCTCTTGATACTTAAATATTGTTCCTACTTGTATGAAACTAAAGATTCAGCTGCAGTGCTGGTATACACAGCAGGACAGGGGAGGTGATGGCCAGTCTGGCTGTAAGCTGTTCTCTCACCAGTGAAACCTGCTAATTGACAGCTTGAAGGATTGTTTTAATATTCAGGAGATTGTGACGCTGCATCTTCCTCTTCACCTCAGCAGCATGTGATACATTGTGTGCCTGTGAGAAAAAGAGCATTATGGGGATATTTACTTAAACTGTGTGGTATACTATAAGGGAGTGTCTGTTAATAAATGTTTTATTATATTTTGGTATCATGTATATGAGGAAAGATGACACTTCTTGTCCTTGAAAAATGGTAGCATAAATTCAGTTCTGTAATCTAGTGTATTTAGGAACAGGTTCTCAAGTAAATAATGTTAAGCTCTATATATAGATATGTGGGCAAACAGGTACTGTGATAGCTCTCTGATTATACAAATATAGGAAATTATTTCACATAATAAACAATAGGGTTTAATACATGGGAGCAAGTAACTGTTCAGAAATTTTAGGTCCGGATGATTAGATGATTTTATAAAAGAAACATGCAAATTAGTTTTTTTAAAAAAACAAAATTTCTGATTGAAGTTACCAAGACAGCAAGACAGGCTTCTCAGAAACCTTTATTTCTGGGAAGGACGTATAAGAGTATGTATCATTTGATCAAGGGACAGTAGTTTCTCTGCATTATGTTTGAAGCAATACTGTAGAAGAAAGTTTGGTATCCCTCCTTAATTAATTTGAGCTCTTCTGTGGTTTTTTTTAGATTTTTTGGAGGACTGATTTTAGATATCAAAAGAAAAGCTCCCTTCTTCTGGAGTGACTTCAGGGATGCTCTCAGTCTGCAGTGTCTGGCATCATTTTTGTTTCTCTACTGTGCTTGCATGTCTCCTGTCATCACGTTTGGTGGTCTGCTGGGAGAAGCAACTGAAGGTCGTATAGTATGTGTTAAATCTGAACTTTTAAACCAAACTTGCATTCCTAGGTTTGTGGTTAGTATTTTCTTACTGTTGCATGAATCACCTTTAAATATTGGTGTTTCAGTGTTTAGAAGGCTACAGACTAAGACGTTGTAAAAAGAACCTGTTTGAAAATTTATGGACACTTCTCTTTGTATCATATTCAGAGTGCAATAGAATCACTATTTGGAGCATCCATGACTGGAATTGCCTACTCCCTTTTTGGTGGACAGCCTCTCACTATACTTGGCAGCACAGGACCAGTTTTAGTGTTTGAGAAGATCTTATTCAAATTTTGCAAGTAAGTGAAAATCATGATATGCATCATCCTTCACATGTTGTTAGGTAATAGTAGAGGTACTGATCCCAAAGTTCCAACAGAATAAAGCCAACAATTTGTATTGGAGTGCACTGCTTAGGCTTTCAGAGTCTGAAAATATGCAGTGACTGAGACAAGTGAATTGGTGGTAATGCAGAAAGGTTGGTTTTTTAGATTTTTAGCTTTTTATTTGTTTGGAAGGGAATGTCAGCTTCAGGATGTTGGTGGGTTTGGTTTTTTTGTTGTTGTTTCCTTGTTTTTTGTTTATTTGGTTTTTTTGGGGGGTCGCTTGTTTTTTGTTTTTATTTTATCAGTTTCTACTCTGAGACAATACATTTAAATCACTGGTTTATCTCATCTCTAACTCAAAAGGTGTTACCTCTCACCAAGGCAGTAAGTGCAGTGGGAGTGGTGCCATTTTTCAATAGTCACTAATACAGACCATGCCGGGGTGAAGTGTCATGCCAGAACAGCATACACTCACATTTATGTTAATGTGCTGTACATGACATATCTCTGCCACAGCGTGGGTAAGAATTACGTCTCCATCTTGGAAGCCATCCTGCTTCTCTGCTATCCTGTCTGCTTTTCTGCCTCATTGCTGTGATGGGGCTTCTGCACCAAGATCTCCTGAACAACGTAGAAAAAGAGACCCCACTTAGCACCCCAATAAATTTTCTAGCACCTTCAGGTAGAGCTTTTAGTTCACTGTGCTAATGTCACCTGGTGTGTTTGGAGCTCTATTATCATATGCAATAAGCATACAGAATTTTGATGAAAGTTGTTACAGCTACTTTTTCACAGCTTAAAAAGAAACTGACAGGTGTTGGCTGTGAGCAAAGCAGGATATGGGATAAAAAGTGAGTGGACCTTATACACTTCAAGTGTGTGACTACTCTCAAAGCTTCTCGCTGGCTTTAGCAGAGATAGCTCTTTGGGTCCTGTTAAATGGGAGGAGAGCTCTGGTCAGGAGGTGACTTGACAGTATTTTCAGTTCACATATGTATGTAGTTTCTGATTAAGACTGTCCCTAGAAAGGAAAATTTGTAGCTGCCTTGTCTCCATTCACTGTGGCTGGAGAAAATATTAACTGTGTTTAATTTTTTTCTTATTTTTAGAGAGTATGGGTTGTCATACCTTTCTCTGAGAGCTAGCATTGGGCTATGGACTGCAATCCTGTGCATCATCCTTGTTGCAACTGATGCAAGCTCCCTAGTCTGCTACATTACTCGATTTACTGAAGAAGCTTTTGCTTCTCTTATCTGCATCATTTTCATTTATGAGGCCTTAGAGAAGCTGTTTCATCTCAGTGAGACATATCCAATCAACATGCATAATAATTTGGATCTGCTGACCAAGTACTCGTAAGTAAGATTTTTTCTGTTAAACTATTAGGTTTTGTAAATGGGATGTTTTCTCTGTGAGGAGCACAGCAGAAAAAAATTGCAGCAGTTCCAAACTTAAGATGTGGAAGCTATTATGCTGTCATTTGGAAGTGGTAGTTGCTGGAGGTATGTGTACAAGCAAGACACATATACTTTAGATAAGTAAAAATATCTTGACTTGGAGTTTCAAAAAGCTTCCATACATGCAGTCTGGAAGTCAGAGAACTAAAAACAGGATGTGAAGGGACCTCAGTTTTAGGTCTCTATTCACATTTTTATTTAATGAGGTTTAGCTCAGTCGTCTCTTCCTGTAACCTTGTACTGATGATTTATAACCTTTTACTGGCAACAGGCTGTTCAGGCAATGTTTGTATATCGTATATTATCTGGTTTTGTTTGTTTGTTTCTCCAATTGAAATGTTCACCTATTTATAAAGGATATAAATTGATGTACCTCCTTTATTTTATTTTAACTTTCTGTCATTTAAGGTACAAGCTCCAAGAACTGAAGTGGATTTGGAATTGTTAGGTGTTTCTCAGTGCTTATTGATTATGTCATAACCAATTTTTTCTTAATAATAAGATTTTTTAACTAACTCCGTTTAAGCAGCTTTACTTTATTGTGGAGTTTAGACAGGTACTATTGTATCTGGGGAATAGAAAAGTGAATTGCTTTTATCAATATAGTTTCATTTAGAAGAAAAACCTCATAGACTTGTTCCTGTAATATGAGAACAAAAACGTTTTCTAGTAGAGAACAAAATCCTAGTCTTTCCTGAGGCCAGTCAAGCTTGGTCACCTCAGCAACTAAAATGTCATTAAAAAGCATTTTCAATGAAAATCCCTCTCCAGAAATGTCTTTATTATTTCACTGAACCCTTTTGAACCCCCTGCATGAACAGGGTGGGGCCCTAACGGAACAATGCTTGAACAGTGCCACATCTTCTGTTCATTGGAAAAACAGGAGTGTCTCAACCAAATGTCTCATTTGCATTTTAAGCTGGGAAAAACAGAACACGGCAGCAGAGAAAACATTTGAGCTTTGTGTATATTATCACTGTAAGAAGAGTTAGCAAATCCTGAATCTGAATGCACATTACATACCTTAATTCATACAAGTTAAATCAGAGAAACTGTAGTTCTTCTGACATACTGTCTCATCATGCTGAAAATAATTCAATTCCTCTCTAATAGTTTAATCAGTAGACGAAGGAATAATAATTTGAAGAGAAAGCAATAAACATCAAGAACAGACCAAACATGCAGTTGAGGTTCTATTCTCTTATTTAACTTAACTTCTATGAAGTAGGTATTTTACTCTGAAGAGCTTCATACAGCACAGTGTTTGTGGATTGTTTTTCCTTTACCCCTTCAAAATAGTCGTCTCAGAGGGAAAGAGAATGTGATGTCCTCCTATGATTTTGAAGATCAGATGTTGAAATACTATACGAGGACAAAATATATTCAGAATCCATTTAGCAGGTGGAACTGAGATATTAAAATATGTAATGAGAAACATAAGCACAAAACATAAACACAAATATGGATTCCTGTGTAGCTATATTAATGGTTAGCTGAATCCCATGATACTGCTCGAGATTTCAGAGAAATAAGTTTAACATTCCTGCTTGTATAGGGGTACAGTCAGAGCTATATCTGTATTTCATGATAATGTTTTGTCATCATAGTCCTTATGTTCGCAAATAAATGTTTTTAGTTTTATTTAGAATTCCACTTATTAATCAAAATCCCAAATTGATTTTTGAGGAGTGCTGTTTACTTGTTGCCTGCCCTTGGCAACCCTCTTCATTGAGTGTAGAATGTGCAGAACACACAGAATGGTATAAGTGCAGCTATTGTCGTCTCCAATTATACCTATTGACCTGTCCTGTCCTACAACACAATAGTTTTAGATTTTTCAAACACAATTGCTGAAGGACAAGTGCCTTCCAGATGTTTGGAAGAAAGATTTGACCACTGCCTACTGGTTTCAACCACACATATAGATTAAAAAAATATTTGATACAGTATTTTTATAGTTATTTATAGGTTTATTATTTCATAACTATATTCTCAGTTATTCTTTCACTCTGTGTAGATAGTACAATTAAATTGACTTTCAAAGTCTTGCATTACATCTCACATTTGGCATTTATACTGTATCTTCTACCTGCAACAATACCCTGTTTATTATCAATCAAGCCCATAGCAACTGACCCTGCTAACAGTGAAATGAGCAAGCATCAGGGCACTTATGGGATGTGACTTACATTTTTTTAGCTTTAAAAGTGCTAATTCGAAATGCCAGTGTATGGATAATCAATACATATTGATTATCTTGTAAGAGCATATCTGCTGATTCCAAGGATCTGTGCTCTGAACAGCAAAATGGTAATTCCGGCCTCTTCTGTTCTCTCCCCTCCTTTCTCCTTCATTTGAGCTTTTCTTAGTTATTCAGAACTGGTCTCTAAAGACTGGGAGAACTGAAAGATGTGCTCAGTTGGAGCAACTCCAGCTGCCCAGATGACCAGTGCTTTCACAGCAGACTTGGTGCCACCTGAACTCCATGGGTTTGCTGTGCAAATACACACATATGACTGCCCATATACAGTGGCCTTTTGCCCAGAAGATGAGGTATCACAGTTATCATCCCCAGGGGATCATCACAAGACATTTCAAGTAACCCTCAGTCCATGCTCAAATGTCTGAGTCTCAGTTCCAGAGACATAAGAAACTAAAAGACAGATAAGCATAAAAATTTACTTGAAATAAAAATGCCTCTTTTGTGTACTTAAGGATGGGGAATATTGATTTCAGAAGGAATTAGAAGCTTTTGCTGCAGCATCTGACTCCAGTCCTTCTACTTGTAGTTTAAATGGGTAACAAACTTGGGCTGAATCTGGTCCTGTCCTTAAAGGACCAGCATACTCTGTTACAGAAGCTAATTAGTATCTGCTGTTTTGCTAATTAAAACAGCTGTTTGCATTTTCCTCTTTGGGGATTTAAAGACAAGTTTTTAATTGTTAGTAAAGCCTTGGCAGTTCTTTAATTAGCCTTGGGTGAACTTCAAAAGGTTGAGTAACTCATTTCTCTTTGAATGCTCAGCCAAAGCTTATGTAAAACTTCATCTTGGATCTGCAAATCTATGCTAGAAAACTCAGGTTATACTGTAAAATTTCTGTGTATTCTGTATTCTGCCTGTTGCCCACTCAAAAAGTTGATAATAAATAGGCCAAAAGGCTTGTATATATTGGAAGTTTTCAGTGTATGCTGTGGTCCAGCCCTCCTCTCCTCTCCCATGGGCTTTCCAAGAAGGCTCTCGTATCTACAGGTAGTCTGTCTACATACCAGTACTGTTCCTTTGCCCTGGTGAAGACATGAGTTTGACCCAGGAAAAGTCATTGGCATGCTGTTAATGCTCTCCTGCGGAGTACTAGAAAGACAAAGAAAGTAGTGATTTAAAATGGTTGTTATTTCAACCAGATTGAAACCATATTTCAAGTGAGAAAACCCATTCTGCATTTTTGGTGGGTTTGAATTCTGTCATAAACAGTCTTCGTTGCAGGAGTAAGATGTAAAAGACTGTTCTGCATGCATTTCTTCTTATATTTGAGAGTACAGGAGTAATTACTGCTATCTGCCATAACAAACCTTAGAAGACTATAGAAAGAACATTCAGAACATTTGGGTTGGTTTTGTATTTATTTGTAAATTTTTAATCAAGCAGAAACAAATATTTGAAAATTGGCTGAAAGTCCTCCTAAAAGATGTATTAAAAATTGTATTTAGCATTTTGCCATTTTAAGTAGAAGATAGGTATATGAGTTACAGAATTCTGTCTCAAGGAGACAAAATTATATTTTGTTGCATGATCTAACTGATGGAAAACTAAACCTTTTTAAAACCTACTTTTTAAAAATTTTATTTTATTTATTATATTCGTTACTCTGTGGTTAAGTATTGGTCCTAATCTTTAGATGATCTACTTGCAGGCAAATCCATGATGTTTTTCTTAAAACATCATCTTTTGATATGGATGATAAAGAATAAGAACTAAATCAAAAGGACAAAGACAACTTCATTTTCAGTGTGCTACTGTGCTGCAATTTTTTATTTTTAAACCACATTGTTTTGAAGGAATTTGAATAGAGTAGCTGCATCATTTATTAAATTAAATGCACATACTTTCTGATCAGGGCTTTTCTTTTTTTTTTTTTTTTCTATGTGACCTTTTTGTATTTGTCATGCCATTAGCATTTGTAGGTTGGCATAGCAACTCTCTTATTTCTGCACTCTCTTCCTCCTGTTTTTTCCTACCCTTGTAGCAAATATATCTCCAGTTAGTGAATCCTGTCTGGAACACTGATGCCCATCAGTTTTAATGTGTATATTAAATATTAGAATATTATTTTTGCTAGGAAAGGAGAACCCCACACATTCTCAAAGGAAAATAGAATAAGCATTGTGGATGAAAGGAATGTGATTTAGAAAGCAACCCAGTATTCTTTAAAATACAAGCATTTTAAGATAGTTATCTTAGAATATAGAAGATGAGTTATTTCTCAGTGTAAGGTGCTTAGATCTTAGGACTTTATATACCTTTAAATTTTTTATTAATTCTTTTTTCAAAGTGATGAATTCATGTTGTTTTTAATAATTCTTTACCAGAAGTTACTCAATTATTAACAGATTACATTGAATAATTTTAAAGTGATTTCTTGGCATAGTAATATGCATATTGCAATCTGTCTTGGTATTGACATGCACTTAAGCATTAGGAGTAGAAAATCCCACTCTGATGTAATTAGAGAGCCAAGATCATGTCAATCTCAGTATCGTTTGCAGGCTATAGAAGCCATTGCTTCTAGAAGGCATTGTGAAGATTATTTTTGTGCATACCACTTTTTGCAGAAGGAAGTTTTATATCTTTCGTTATCTTTATAACTTAATCTAAATACATCATTATTGGATGCAGATCAGGTTGGTTTATACCCTGTATCCCTTAAGCTGCAGGTGGAATGAGAGGAGTCGATGGTGATAAGCACAGAAGTGCTCATTACGATCCCAGGCGTGTAATTGAATTCCAATTCCTGTAATGATTTCTTTGAACTTAGATATGAATATAGATTTTTCTTTGCCCCTTTATAGTTTTTTCCTGCAGTTAAGTAACTGTGCTATATTCTGTGTGTCTTTCCCTAAGAATATCCCTCTTCCCAGAACCATGCAAATGCTATCATTGAGTTTAACTGGTTCTCTTTTGCTTCTTGACAAACCTTGGAATCCAGACATTATTTTTCTTTATTCTGTTTATTCTGGGACTTCCCTATGCCTGCCCAGCCCAACTGACTTGTCTCTCTCTCCTTCATGTGAAGCCAGAGAGTGCCTACCTTGGTTTATTCTTTCCTACTACTCATCCCCTCCACTTGCAAAATAAATCTTCTTGTTTAAGCAATTCTCCACAGCATTGGTTTTTGTTGATAGCTGATCTACACAATGCCTTCAAAGTCTAGAAAGGCTCATATAAAATTCTTGTGTGGTTTTGTTATAGTACATTTGTGTGTATTGATGCACGACACCTGAATAATTGAGACTTAAGCTGACTACATAGCATTATGATGTATCGCAGTATATTATTTCTATACCAGCATTATACTGAATCTCTTCTCCTCAGGTGTATGTTTTTTTAGCTGTGGAAGCAGGGTGAAGTGACATCCTAGAAATATTTCTCAGTGAAAGCTTTCAGATGAATTGTCAATACCCCACATAGTTACTCTACTTTTCTGCACATGAACTCCTACGTATGGCAGTTCCATGCCATAGTACTGCTGAGAATGCATGGACTGCATATTGCACCAGGCAGCTTAATAACGACCAGCCTTTGTGAGTTCAAATCAAAACTACAAAAAAAGCTACAATATGATTATAAATCTGTTTTCTAGACTTTCCCCTTGACAGAACATTCTCTTCCTGATGTATGATCCAAAGAAACTGATTCTTTTAGATTTCTTCACTCTAGCATTAGCTGCCCTCCTCAGATTTCTCTCTCTCTCTCTGTGAAACTATTGTGCTGCTGAAGGCATTGTTTTGATACTTTTTATAGGCTTTTTCTATTTTCCTCCTCAGCTTCACCAACTAAACTATATAGACTTCCAATCTTAGAGAATATATGTGGATGCCTACTGATGTTCATGACTGTCAGAGATAGGCTACTTAACTTCATGGTCGTAATTCAGGATGGCAGATCTCATGAATAAATGAGGAAAAAAATCTTGTCTTGCCGTGACAGCTGTGCTGTGAAAGGATTTCGTGATACTGAGAATAGAACTTAACTGACAATTTCATTTTCCATCACTATTAATTATTTTGTTTCCAGTCTCTTCTCCACTGAGACTTTGATTTAGTTATGAATGTTGGCATGAGAAGGACTATGGTAAATATAATGCCAGGGATATACAGGTTTGTGGGTACAAGATAGAGGAGAAGACATTGTTTATGATATTGTTGTTGTCCCATTTCCATAGCACTTTTTAGACAAACAGAAAGACTCTGTGAGTGCCCATAATTCACTTGAAAATGGTGTATTTGGACACAACCTAAACATGCATAGCATTTTGCTATTGATATATTTCCTTCAACCTTGTAAATGCAATGTAAAGAATACTTACATATATATTCTAATATACCTTACTTTAAAACAAACCTAGTTATATTCCATTTCATACTGTCATCTTATTCTTTCTCTGTTTTGTGCACAGCACACTCGTAGAGCATCCTCTGTGTTAGGGGAAAAACTTCCTACTCATATTACCAAATATGTGTTCTGATATTCAGTGAGACATATTGTTTGAACAAGCACATTTTGCAACTTATTTGTTATACTTGCCTCTAGTTTTTAAAATATTTTAAATATTCGTATTGAGAAAAATCTCATTCTCAAGATATCTTATGTGAGCCAGAAAGACATTTTGCCCTTCTAGGAAGGCGAAATGGTATATTGACTAATCATGAAGAAGCTGCAGTCACATCTTTTATAGATCAGATCCTTAGTAAGTATAAATAGGTATGGCTTGCAATATTTAAGTGCTGGAAAAATAGGAGATCCAAACCAGTGCCTTGTGAGTTGGATAAAATCATCAATAGTAAGTGCCTCCTAGTCTTTAAAATAACATACTGAAAAATGGCAACTCCTTAGGGATGAATGGCCATGGGGCTTCAAAAGGAGCTGTACCATTTAAGTGTGTTTTATTTATTGACAAAACCACTGTTTGAAGCTCTTGTTCAAAGCTGGACTGGCACCATGCTGCATGTTTAAAATCTGTTTGGGGAGCAGAGTGTGCGCAGCCAGGTAGAGAGAAGAAAATGGTGAAGAAGCAACCTGAAGGATCAGGGATTTGTCATGGGTTCAAGCAGCTGAATTTTTAGTAATAGGGGGCCATAGAGATGATTTCTATTAGAAACTAGTAAAAGCTTTTACTGTTTTATGAAAAAGCCAGTGATAGCCAGCTCCAGCAGGATGGAGAGAGGAGAAGGTTCCAGAGGATACCAGTTTGTCAATCATCCTGATTTGCCAGAGATTTGCAAGAGATTTCTTGAGCACTTTGGAAGGTGTAAAGACAATAAAGACTCCTTGCTCGGGTTATTTTTCCAGTTAGCAGGTTCAGACTGTTACTCTTTGTTACTTTCTCCTTTTATCAATTCTAATCTTACAACAGCTCTGCAGTTTTCTGAAGACTGTCTTGTCTGAAATGGTTTATTAATGTGCCTTGGACTTACAAGCCACTTTGTAATAGGCTGTATTAGATTTTTAAATATTTTTTTAAATAAAGATGATTGCTGTCTTACAAGGTGTGAGAGTACACTGATAAATGGTACTGTATTTAGAGCTGAATATGTTGGTTAGAAAATATAGGTGTATGTATTTGATAATAGCATAAACTCCACATAGTAGGCAAGTGCTCAGGGCTTTAAACAACTTTGAGCCTCCAAGAAGAAATGCATTTTTTATCAGAAAAGTAGAAGGATGTATTAGTATTAACAATTCAGTGTATTTTACTTTTTCTTCCAGCAGCTCTCAAGTAAAAAATGTCAATGAAAGAGACTAAAATATTCAAATGATTAGACTAGAAAGCCTCATTTCACTAATGTGAGTTTCTCCTTGCAGGTCAGTTGTGTTGGGAAATAGTTATTATTGAAGCAATTACATGTGTTATGAAATGACACATTTTAGTAGGTAATGTTTTCATGTTCTGGCACTGAGTGGTACCTTCACTTGTGTTTTCTGGGTTGGACAGGGAGTGTCTTACTATCTCACATTTCTATAATGTTGAGCAATTAGTGTGATGCTGGAAGACAGTAATACCATGCTGAAATCTCACATAAAAATGTCAGTGTTGCCAAAACACGTACAACACTGAAAGCAATATAACGTTGTAT